TGCATGTATTTTCTTGTTTATAGGGAGATGGGCCTATGACTGGGGAGCTTATTAGTGTGGGGAGGGGGACTTATAAGCAGTAGTTTACTGTACAAGCTCCCAAGCTGGATCTAACCATACCATTTCACATGAAGTTGTTTGCATACATGTTTCTAAACAGCGGACTGAACTATTCAAATGCATTTCTTCTCTAACAGACAGCTATTCAACATGGGCCCTTCATGATCCTATAGTAGCTCCTCGTGATCCCAGGCGGGTATCTAAGATAAATACTGACTGATTTCCTAAACAAGCGTCAAAGGCGCAAACTTCTAGGGCGGTTTGGGATCAGGCTCCCCAGGAAATTTTTCCTGTAAGTCCCCTTTCCCGGGTTTCTGAGTCATTCACAAAGGATATTGGTCAGATTTCAACTTGGAAAGTGTTTTTGATTATTACAAATATATTTATTATGAAAAATCCGACCAATTTTCTTAAAATGGTGGAAGCAGGTCTGGATCGGTGCCTGGATCCTTTATGTATTTGAAAAATGAAATGATTGCACTTTTCATTACTTTAGATCTGGGGATCACGGCACCGACATAGGCAAGGCACTGACAGGAGTGAATCATGGTACCCCAACAGTTTTACTTGCTCACAGACCAAAAGTTGCAAAACTGGCTTTGGATGATTATCATGTTGATCTTGTTTTAACTGGTCACACACATGGAGGACAGTTATTTCCAATACATCTGTTTCATCTTGTTGCCGAACCATTCTTTGCGGGGCTTTACCAGCACAAATCTGGATCATACGTGTATGTTTCCAGTGGGGTTCATTTTTGGGGAATGCCAATGAGGTTGTGGTCCAAGGCAGAAATAACTCATGTTACTCTGACAACAGCATAACTGCAGTTTTTGTCAAATCGTGATTATTTTCTACTACTGCTGAGTCATCCTCAGCTCACAGTACTTAAAGATGCCTTCAAGCCTGTCTTTGCAGCAACGTGGCTGTGGATTTCGTTAGTAAGGGGACGTTTTTGCAAGTTTCAGAATAAATTAGTTAACAGCCTTTACATGCTTTTCTAAAAAATGCTGTTAACCTGTAGTGAGATCTGACCTTATGATATTAACTATTTCGGAACTGTCATTTCTGTCATTGCTTTGATTGGCCTTTGAAGATAACGGCAATGGTTGAAATTCGGTTTTTGGACTAAAAATCGTTAATCTACTTGTTAAAATATTTCCATATTTAATTCATTACTTATTTATTTTCTCCTTTTCGTCCTTTTACAGTGTGTTATTTCAGCTGTTATTTATTCATTAACTAATAAAAGTCTTTCTGTTTGCCCGTATGGACGCATGACGGGATAACCGTTTTGCTTAAATAAGTAACAAAAAATAAGTGTGGACGGACATCTTCATTATTTTAAACTTCACTTCCTTCATTTAAATACATGCAACACGTTAATTTCAGGGAAGGAGCATGTGAGGAAGTCTATATGATCTGATCTTGCTTAGGGCAGATTTAAATTCTTAGTCATTGATGATTTAAAAGCTGGACATAATAGGGCCATTTATACGAGAAAAAATAAGACGCGTCTTACATAGGACGCGTCTTAGGCATAGGTCGCACTTGGGAAAAGTTTTCATCTTTGCCGGCTAAAAAACCACGAAAATTCGAAACCGCAACCGAAAAAAAAAAACTTTTAGTCAAATTGAGGAGGGTCGCACTAGTATTTACTAGTGGGAGTTAATTGTCGCTGTTTTGACACATTGAGAACTAAAGTAGGCCAGATACCAGAGAACATTATCTCTTCGCAGTCCGATCATTTGGCGTAGGATCGTTTTCCTCCTTTCCCAGTTTCAGGAGGATGGGAGAAATAAAGAAAATAAAGTGCTTGGCTGCAAAGACTTCATTTAGCTCGCAGAATAACAAACCTGTGACGGTGCCTGGGTAGACTATAATTGGCTCGCCTGTAGAGAGTTCCCGTAAAAACGTTGAAATAGCGAAGGATTAGAAGCTTATGAATTGCTCGCCCGTAGAAAGTTTTCGCAAAAACGTTAAAATGGCGAAAATTAGTGGTAGCCTCGTCCATCCACAAAAACGCGAAGGTCAGAAAATTTCAACGATTGATTCAAATTGATCGTGTTTCAAATTGGTCACGTTTCGCTGACAAGTGCTGACACTTACCGCCGTGATTCCTATTGTTTAGCTAGAGTTTTCCAAAATCTGCCTGCCCCACCCAAGCACTTCGGCATCTTTGATGTTTTTCTGTTTCGCAAAGTTTTTTTCCAAGCGGAAAACTTGGGGTCGCACTTGGCAATGTCTCCTGATGACAGATTTCTACCGCAAGGTAAACAAATTTTTTCAAAACTTTGCCAAGTGCGACCCATGCCTTAAATAAGACGCGAACTTTCCGTATAAACGGCACATTTCGTCTAAAATAAGACGCGGCTTAGCTAAGACGCGTCTTATTTTAGAACAGCCCTTAACACCTGCTCTTAGATAAGACGCGTCTTAGCTAAGACAAGAAAAACTTCGTATAAATGACCTTCGCGTCTTAACGCATAGTACGCTTGCGTTAATTTTTGGCGTGCCACGTTAGATTGGCGTTGCTACGGGCAACATTCACATGAAAACGAGTCAAGAACAGAAATAAGACGCCAACCATTTATACGAGCTGTTCTTGTCTTCTTTAAGGCGCGTCTTATTTTTCCTCGTATAAATGGCCCTAATATGTCCTAGCCTGCGAAAAAAGAGTACAACAGACGTTTCTCCTCACGAAACATCCCCGGCGGCGAGGAGCGAGAGAAAACGGTTGTTTTTGCGGGCTTAGAATGTTCAAACACGGACGAGATTTTGTGGGACATCAAGCGAGAAGTGGGTTGAAAAACAAGACAAAATAAAATTTTTTCAGACCACTTTTGAGGTGTAAAGGATTAGGGGATTCTGGATGCTGCATATTGAAATAATGAGTCGGCCTCAGGTTTGTCTGTTACGTGTTACCGACGTGAAGCGTGGCTGCAGTTGACCTAGTTTTGATACAACCCTTTCTACGTTATTCGCTATTTTCACATTCCCATAATACACCTTGTTTACCCCCCCGCCCTCCCCCCCACCAAAAAAAAAAGAAAACGTTTTGCATAAGCATTGTTTCCAATTTCTCTTGGGATTTACAAGAGGCAATATTGTTGTTATTTACAGCTACATTTAGACTTTGGGCCTTCCTAGCAGACAAAATCGGAGTTCTCTTTGAAACGTCTATTAACCAAAAATTGTATCGTCACAATTTTTGTTTGGAAAACATTTATCCGCGCTGGAAACTAGGCCGTTACATCTGACAACATTCGCATTTGTTAATGGAGGAATAATGGCTTTACGACAAATAATTGACAGGAAAAACACATTTTTGTTTATTTAGCGGATTTTGTCCAGTTTTTTACCCAGGACAAATGTTGTCCACGGCGCCTTTGAAGATTGTCCCCTCTGGGACAAAATTTGTAAAATCGCGACAAAGCATCCTCATGTGTTAAGCGTTGATGATGACAGAAAGTTTCTCGAAATAAACAGCTTTTTCGCTAGCTCGGATAGGCCGTCTGTTAAAGTCCTTCCGTCTCATTTCCGGTCCCACTGTCCCGCTCGCGCTTCGCGCGCGCGAGAAAAATTTTGAGCTCCAAGCTTCATCCTGTTTATCGTTTCTCCAGCGTTTGAGGACCTAAGATGTTTCTCCGAAGCAAGATGGAGAAAAGTACAATAACAGTAAGCTGAATAGCTTCGTAAACATCAATCTGCATTGAGTGCTCTTTAATATAGCAGTAATATCACTGTAGCGTCGTTTTCGGCAGTTTTATGATTGGCCGATGTGGGGATCTGATTGGCCACCGTACTCTTTCTTGAACTTTCCCCTGGCCGTGGGAGATCTGGGTACGAAATTAGGGAGTTGGAGAAGCGGTCCGGCCTTTCGTCAGACGAATCGGCAGTCAGTCGACAGGATAATTGACATATAGGTCAGAAAACGGCAGGAATAGCGCCAGTCTTCGCAACCCCGAGATCGTTCATAAGTAGGAGCCCATCACCCATCGCTCCTAGCACAAGCTGTTATTACAAGGTTTTAAATGAATTATTTTTTCTTTAGAAGAAAAAGGTCTATATGACTTTTGATGTCTATGCAATTGGAGTATACTTGTACCACTACGCTTTCAGAAGCTTCAAGAAACCAGGAGATCTTACTCTCGGGCAAGAGGGTCACCGCCGAAAAGACTCATGCTTCAAACCTGCGCTTTTTTTCAAATGTGGGTAATATGTGCCGGCGTCGTGATCTGTAGCACAGGGAAACATGTTGGATAAAACTAAATAAAACAGCTTGAACACGGTGAATCATGATCTGATCTGAAAACATCCTACACTGCCCATAAAGGTGCTCAAACGGGTCCCAACAACGCTACGTTGGATCTTTTTGGGTCCTTTTAAATAGGGCTTTTCATACGCTGACCCCCTGCCCCCCCCCCCCCCAAAAAAGTTGTGCCCTCCCAAATAAAGCACAAAAAGCAGGACACTAGCCCGATCTGAATTCCAGCCTTACTCGAATCGCCCACTCCCGAGAAAGATGCCGTCTCTCTCGGGAGTGTACGACTCGAGGGGACGGTTTTACGTCTGAAATTCAGCCTAACAGAACACTTTACGGTATTCAGTAAAAACCCCGATTTTCCTAACCAAATCGGTTCAAAATAACTAGAAGTTTGAAAAATCGGACATAAAATTACAATGTTTAAAAAGTGAAGAAAAGTTACATTAGGTTCGAATTTTTTAGGAACGTCGAGGGTACGAGTATTTTTAAATACGCATTTAAAAACAATACAGGATTTAGAACTGAACCATAAATGTGTTCTTTCAAGCACAGAAATTAATTCTTATCCACATTGGCCATGCCCTTTTAAAATTAATGATAAGACTTGCACACGAAGAAAGAGAATGAGAGTTCATGAAATTACTGTTTATTAACTTTTATTTCACGAGGGGCTTCACTTGGTGCACACAGCGCATGTCAACTCTCGACCTTCAACATAAGGAAGACACGGTAGCGAGCCGCATCTACCCTCCACAGGGTACAGCAAAGCACCATTTCTGTTTGCTTGGCTTCCAGGAACATATTCTGGGTCCCTGTCAAGGCAGATGAAATCTCTTGAATGCCTGTGACTGCGGTCTTCAGTCATCAGGTACCCATGATACTCTTCGGTCCATCCAGACGGACAGTCATTCCTGGCGGGCATCATTAGCATTGAGCCACGTGACTTGACAAAGCAGACAACACAGGGAGCTTCATGATTGTGGATATTTCTTTTGAAAACAGTGCCAACGAGCGAACTTACTTCATATTCAGTGCCGTACATATATCCCCCACCCTGGACGCCATTTTTGTATCTGTCATACTTTGGATTATGTGGAAGGCAAAGGTAGTTTGCACCACCTCCATAGTGATTGTAATGCTCTCCACCCATTATACCTGTATGAAGCAAACGGAGAATAATCAAGTAAGATCATTTAGTCACATTATTATGCCTTGTACTCGCTATCTGTCTTTCACTAGCTAAGGGCCTACAGTAGATTTTGGAAATCCGCGCAAACGACAGATTAATTAGTTATCTGATAGTAATGTATGAGTTCCAAGAGCGATGTTAAACTGTGTTCCGTTCGACGATGTGTTTGTAATTTTGTTTGTTTGGTTTTTTTTTTTCACCTCGACCTGGATCACTGATTCCGGAGATTACACTATCACAAAAACCTCATGCAACAATTTTTGTTATAAAGGTTTTTGAGAAAAATGTTCCAGTGCTCTTATCTGCAGCTTAGGTATCAGCATCACACATTGATCTATCACCAGATGCTTGAATTATTGGGAATAGGAACTTGTTTACGGGTATCGCTTTCAAATTTTCAAGGTTATGTCCTTAGCACTCAGTGCGTTTTTTTGTTTGTTTACCTTTATAGACTATCTGTGCCCCGCTAGGACATGTGGTCCTTCCCCAGCGCTTATACTTCACCCCTGAACTGCCAGACCCGTCCTGTCCCCTTTGCCCTTTAGGTCCTTGAAGTCCTTTGGCTCCAGTCTTTCCAACAGGTCCTTGATCCCCCTTAGGACCTGGAGGGCCTGGAAATGGCTTGTTGGTGCCAGGTTTTCCCTGTTCCCCTATAAAGAAATGGTGCTGAAGCTTAGGGTTTTTAAACGGTATCATTTGTCTAAGCGTTTTTTGGTCTGCTGTCTTTGCCATCTGATCTTTAACGTATGCAAAGCAAAGTGTTTTCTGCACACATTTTTGCCTTGGTTTTCTTTTTTGTTAAGGGGAGGATATGGAAAGGGTGTTACTGTATTGCGATTGGTGAAAAATTTATTTTTAGTTATTAAGGATATTTTTATTTTATTTTTAAGATAGAATATTTCATTATGTGCCTTTGGGGCCTGATGGTCCAGGCAATCCAGTTGGTCCAGGTGATCCAGGAGGGCCAGGTGGTCCAACTCTCTCCTTGCCTGTATGTTGACCACGCTGTCCTAGAGTAGAGAGTGAAAAAAAAGGATTACAGGGATGGGGTAGGTGGGCAGTTTCCGGGAATCATGTCGCACACACTGCCTCCTCCTTAGGCGCTTCGTTTTTCGCACAAAGGCGACCGCGAAACGCGAGTGACTGGTAACGAAGCCCAAGGGACCATGGGAAGGTAAAAGAAGAGAGGAGAAGCGACGTCTTGGCAGTTTTCTCTTTCCCGCCTTCCTTTGCGCGCAAATTTTTATCGAGAGAGAGGGATCTCTGGGTAAGAGGCAGTTGCAGACATGTTCATTTGTCGCAATTTTTGCACCATGATCGAGTCAAATATAGTTTAATAAGTGGGAACCTTTGTCCGTGGTGACAAATATGTCTTCCAAGGTTTACATTCAAAGTTACAAACAACAGAAATCAACAGCTTTGAATCGGCTCCTGCTTTGACTGAAAAAGGTCAGGATGAACAGTTCTCAAAAACCCTCAATATTGCAGTCAGTTTCCTCTTTTTCGACAATTTGCACATCCATTCCTCTTTTAGGGAACTTTTCGTCAATGTTTTCACTGTTTTAATGCTCGCTCAATTTTGGAGGCCAGGTCCTTTGCGCTGAATTTCCCGGCACAGCTCCTTTAGGCATTCGCTGCCCGTTTAGATTGCTGAATTGTTTTAGAAATTTCCTTTGTCTGCAATGATTGGCCATTACAATAATTAATCACCACAATACACCAACCTAAAATGTAACGCATGAGAGAATCGATTAAGTCTCCAGATCGAGGAGGTATGCGCAGAAGGGCATCAAGTCTGGGAAAGATCAAGGAAATAACCAAAGTGAAATTTTAGCTGAGGCAGTAGGTTATGTTAAGCCAGCAGTGGGAGAAACTGATAGACGTTACTTGCGATTTTTGCGGTATTTGCTTCTCAAATCGCTTCTTGGCCTTCCCTCTTTCTAAGTCGAGAATTTTGTCAAATTTGGAAATCTTGCTATTCTTGCTATATTTTGCAAAAGTCAAAATCCTTTTTACTTTTGTAATTTTTGCAGAATTTGCTACATTTCTGATATTAGTTTCCTTTAAATTTTTTTTGTTAAAATTGCGAAAACAATTTGCTAGCAAGATTGATCCTGGGCATAAGCAATGGTCAATGGAAATTGGACATTCGTGCATGCGATGATTTTCTTGAGTAACTACTAAAAAATTCCTTCCGGTTACCGGTCATCTCGCCCCCAAGTCATTTCGCCCGGTTACTTAGCCCCCTACTCTAGAACGAGGCATATTATATTTGAAGCGCGCTAAATGACTCGAAAATAGGGGGCTAAGTAACCGGGGCGAAATGACCGGTTACCTTGCTTCCCAGTGCGCAATTCCCAATGCCCGAAACAACCTTCACTGAACCAGCTCTTAATGCCACTGAAATGCTTGCTATATCAGCGAGACTGTTTTCATGATCAATCTTCATAAGAAATACAGTCTCTCCAAAGGATAAAGGATAAACGTATGTAATTAAAGCTTTTTCTAGAACGTTATAAAAAAGAGATGCACATAATGATCGAACTGACAAAACCCGTATATTAAACCTCTTCTCTATTTCCTGCAATCGCCTTGTACTCTTATTATGCCTGCAAGAGAGGAGAAAAGATTTTCGGTGAGGGTGTTAAAAAAGTGAGTGACTTTCCGCAACAACAAGAAACACACGAAAATTTGCGCTGCATGAGCGTTTAACTAGACTACATCAAAACCAAAATCTACAAAAACGCCCCCCAATAAACTCAATATCCTTTTTTGTTCCTAACAAGATAAATAAGAGACCCATTGAAAAAAGTTCTCGCGAAAAATAACGCCTCAAAGCTAGCCTGTTCCTGGCGTTCAGATTGTGGAGTGCTGCGCGAAGTCTGCTTTTCCTGCTGACTCTTCTTTGCGCTGTCCCCATTTTCTTAACAACTGGAAGGAACAGGGTTTATATTTTATTTATGTATTTTACATTTGCCACATAGAATAAATATTACAGAAAGAAAAGGAAAAAGATATATACATTATTACTAAGACTGCAAATTTAAAGGGCGGGAAAAGCTTCAAAAATAGTCCAAAAAAATTAAATGTAATATTAAGTGACTTAACTTTTGTAATAGATAGAGTGGCGAGGAAGCCCATTAGAAGCTAAATAGCTTGTAGAAATTGGGCTCCTCATACTTAATTATGATTTAATGTAAGCTGTCATATGGTCAAGCGAGTTTAATTTAGAGCTCTCTCGATAAGGTATTTTTTAAATGAAGTCTTGAAACTAGAGTAACTTGTCAGTTCCGTAAGATTATGGGGAAGGGGAGTTTCATAGGCTAGGTCCTAGATGGAGGATTGTGAACTGTTTAATGTTTGTTCTACAGAAATGTGGTGGGTAGTTATTAGCATTTCGAGTATTAAATGTGTGTACTTGGCGATTACTAAAGATGGTGTTAAACGTATGAGGAAAGAGGTTATTGTGGTACGAGTACATAAAACACGCAACAAAGAACGCATTAATAATGTTAAAGCTGTCAAGGATATTAAGGGTACCTTAAAGTAGGTTAGAGACCTGCATGTTTAATCTACTTTGTAGGGCAATACACATGTACATTATATGAATAGTACAGGTATACATGATAAAATATTATAACAGAAAAATGGATGCCCAAAAGGGAAAGGCGCGAAGATTTTCGCTTCCTTGCAACACACGTTTTTCTTCTTTTCTTGCCTAATAAAAAAAGCGACTCTAATTCCTTCCGCGAAAAGTTTCGCCGTAAAAAGAAGAAACAGTATAAAGCGCGATAAAACATGTGACTTTGGTTGAAATTTTAGTCAGGTTGAAGTCTTAATCCAAATTCAATCAGCTTTCGGAACAACAAAGGTACGCGTCCTGTGACTCGCCTTTCTTCCATGGTCTTCAGTCGTTTTTCAAAGTCTTGCTTGTGGGTTGCATTGTTTCTTACGGCTCTTCGCTCGCGATTCAGGACAGATTGTTTATCATCAGATTCTCGGGCACTAGAGCTGCTATCTACCTCCTGCTGTTGTCCAATCAAAGAATCTTCCATAGCAGAAATATGAACCCAAGTGACACCACACAATATTAACGACACAGCCAAGAAGTGCAAACCGGTGCGAGGTGTGCTAATTGCCGGTGGAAATTTCATTGCGTACCGAATGAGAATTCCTTACTCGCAGCCAAAGGAGACAAAACAACTTTCAATGAAATTGTTGTATGTGTACGTTTTTGATATCAAAGATAATTTTAATGAGATAAGGTCGAGAACTTTTTCGAGTTTGTGACGTAGCAGCCTATGGGCGCATGGTACAACGAAAAAATTATAATAACAGTCTCGCGTCGGGATGACGATAACTGGGCGTTTAAGGGGGAGGGGGTAAGGCAGTGGACATTAGTGCGGGGCATTTTTGGACAACAGCAAACTGATGCATTTTCATATTACTAAATATTTTGTGGAACGGCACTCGTGACGTTATTTAAGAGAGAGAAGGACAAATCGTAGAAAAGAGTGTCAATTGTGATCATTTAAACTCTGCTCATAACTACTAGCAAATTACACGTCACATTTTGATCTTTTAAAACTGAGAAGTTGTGCAGATTTTGCAAGAGAGCAGGTAGGAGAAAGCATAATTCGAAGTACGAAGTATCTACCACGTTTTAAAAGCAGTAATACCGAATGAGCGTTCCTCACTCACAACCAAAGGAGACAAAACAACTTTCAAGGAAGTTGTTATGTGTGTACGTTTTTGATATCAAAGGGAATTTTAATGAGATAAGGGCGAGAACTTTTTCGAGTTTGTGACGCAGCAGCCTACGGGCGCATGGTACAACGAAAAAATTAAAATAACAATCTCGCGTCGGAGTGACGATAAAACGAAAGTTGGCTCGAACAATTTAGACAATCATTAAGGAAACCTTGTAAAAGGAGCCAATTTAATTTAGTTAATAACAACCTGGAAAAAAAATTCTTATGCAAATCGAAATCAACCGACTTAGTTTTAATTTGCATATAATTTCTCGTCACAACACTGTTTCTTTAATCATTTCTTCTTGCTGTTTAGAGGAAATTCCAAATCTGAAATTAAGTCTGTTGGCAACCTCCGATATTGCGAAATGCGGGTTAATTACTGAGAGAGCGTGGTTAGCTGACTCTGATGTTTTCAGATGGCGGCTGTAAGATATAATTAGTTGTCAGTGAAGATTATTTACCCAAGTCCACAATTAAAGTTTACAATTTTGACTGATAATGATTTAAAGGAGCCAGGAACCAGGTAGAGTTTTATTTCTGAATCGATTTTGCCAAACTGCATTATTCCCCGGCATGACCCCTTCATCACGCAACATCGTCTTTTGAATAATGATACAAAATGTTGTCACAAAAAGTCACGGTTTCACTCAGCCCGCGTGGCACACGTCGAAAGGGTGCCACGCAGTACATGCACACAGCTATTTCGAGAAAGGTTGTCGGATAAAGTGCACGCGACAACCCCGAAAGGTATTGTGGGTGGTTTTGAGTTCACTGTTTTTCAAAGAAATTTGAAAGAATGGAAGGAGAGGACGTGGACATATCTGCGAGTGCTAAAGGAAAGCAACAAAAGTAGGTTCGACAGCATCCCAATACCTTTTGGGATTGTCGCATGCACATTTTTTGCGAAACCTTTCTCGAAATAGCTGTAAACAACTCAGGCAA